CCGTCACCAGCCACCCCCAGCCGAGGAAAGGCCGGCCGAAACGAGGAGGCCGCACCACGGACAGAAAGCCTGGTGGCAAGAAACCCCGAAGTGCAGGCAGCAGAGCACGCAGACTGCCAGGAGCACCAGGAACCTCTGTGGGAGACAGGGGACAGACTGCGAGGCCCAGAGAAACCTCGGGCAGGGAAGCGACCTGCACCCGTTAACAACAGCATGCGAGGGAGGCTCGAAGCTCCGAGCGGGCGGGCCCCAGCCCGAGCCATCGAGGGGGGGAGGAGAAGCAGGGACGAAAGGGGAGACCAGAGTGGGGTGCACTGACAGCACACGTCTGGTGGGCTTGTTTTCCACCGCCGCCAACACAAGTAGGAGGGGGAGGGGGTCCCTCTCCTCCTCCTCTTCCTCCTGCTCCTCCTTCCCCCTTCACCTCCTGCTCCTCCTCCTGCTCCTCCTCCTGCTCCTCCTCTTCCTCCTCCTCCTCCTCCTCCTGCTCCTCCTCCTGCTCCTCCTCCTGCTCCTGCTCTTCCTCCTCCTCTTCCTCCTCATCCTTCCTCCTGCTCCTCCTCATCCTCCACCTCCTTCCCCCTTCCGACTTGTGGTGGTGGTGGTGGTGGAAGTCAAGCCCATCAACGTCAGCTGACGTGGCCCAGGGGCTGCTCGACCTCCAGAGGCGGAGCGCCAGAGGACAGAAAGCGCGCGACACGCCCTGCACGACGGGCCGCAGGCCAAGGAGATGCTGAGCTCCAATACCGTCGGGGCGTTGACCTAAGGAACCCTGAATCAGGAACGAGGCCCCTTTTTTCCAATAAATTAAACTTCGATGTACCATGGACAACCTCAGGAAAACCTGAGGCAAACTGTAAAACGATCAAGGAACACCGAGCCCCTCCCCAACGAAAAGGGCTCCTTCTTCAGCGCCTCGGCTGTACTCCCAGAGTTAGATCCACCGCCGTGCCTCTGGCGCAAAGTAAAGTGCTCCAAGGCTCATGCAACACTGAGAAGTAGAGGCTGTGCTGCTGCTGCAGCCAGAACCGTCAGTCTGTCAGGACACGCACCAATTTGTTTCCCAGGCCGTCCAGAGTTTCCCGGGCTGCCTCCCGCGAGTTCTAGGGTGCTTCTGCAAGTCCTCTAGACGCTGTGCCCGCCCACAAGGGTCCAAGAAAGCCCCGACTTGCCGAAACATAGCTCAAATACGTTGTTAATAGCCACGAGACGGCCCCAGACACTTCCAAGACGGCCCCAAAGGCTCGGGAGCGGCCAAGAGGGGGGTGTCCGAGAGGGGGGGGTGCAAATCATGACCGGCGGCATGTGCGCGGCCCAGCGGGGGGGCCAGGGACGTAATGAAATAAGAAGAGGCGCCATGAAATCTATTGAAATATCATGGCCCCCGCCATGATATCCACCTCCCCCTAGTCATCACCCCCCTCTTTTCCGCTCCCGAGAGGCCTCCAACAGCACCCCCACGAGAGCCCCAACAGGCAAAAATCATTGATTGTCCTGCGGTTTCTGAAGGATTTCAGCGTTCGCGCCCTTCGATTTCCCGACGCTCCAAGACGACCCACGAGGCCCCAAAGATCGCCCCCGGACGGCCCCAGAGGCCCCCAAGAGGGCCCCAAGACGGCCCAAGAGGGCCCCAAGACGGCCCCAGAGACGCTCAAGACGGCCAAAGGGCCCAAAAAAACAGTCCAAACAGGGGTCCAGATGGGGAACCCGCACGGACATTTAGAGCTCTCGGCCCCGAGGGGACCCCAAGAGGCCCCAAGAGGCACCCGAGAGGCACCCGAGAGGCACCCGAGGGGCACCCGAGAGCAGCCCAAGAGGCTCCCAAGAGGCTCCCAAGACGCCCACAAATTGCTCCCAACAAGTCCCCGAGAGCGCCCAGAAGAGACGCGAGGAACCATCCCTGAGAACTCTGATCCACAAGCCAGGCACGGTGGTGCCATGGGCCGAAGGCCAGGGGATCCGCCACCCCCTGTTGGCTTGCCACAAGGGTGCGCGGAATGCTAGATTATTTCGGTTTGGGTTCTGGCTTTTGTTCAAAAGAACTCCCCCTGGGGCTTCGGCCCGTCCCGCTGGGGTCCCGGGAGGCTCTTCCAGGACCGCAAACGACCTCAACGTCCGGAATAAATTCTCCAAGACGGCTCAAGATGGCCTCCAAGATGGCCGAGTTCGCCCAAGATGGCCTCCAAGTTCGCCAAAGATGGTCCAAGACGGCCTCCAGGACGGCCCAAGAGAGTCCAAGACGGCACAAGACGGCCCAAGAGGCCCCCCAGAGGCCTCCAAGACGGCCCCAAAGGCCTCCAAGAGGTCCTCCAGGAGGGTCCGAAGAGGCCAAAATCATTGATGTTCCGTCGGTTTTTGCAGGATTTTGGCATTCGCTTCTTCTCGGCTTTCCGACGACCCAAGACGGCCCAAGAGGCCCCCAAGATCGCCCCCACAGCGCCCAAGAGGCCTGCAAGATTGCCTCAGGACTGCCCAAGAGGCCCCCAAGACGGCCCCAAGAGGCCCCCAAGACGGGCCAAGAGGCCTCCAATACGCCCAAGATGGCCTCTAAGACGGCCCTGGAGCACTCCAAGAGGGCACCAAGTCGGCCCAGAAACGCCCCCCAAACGGCTTCCGACGGCGTCAGACGGGCCAGGAGCCCACCAAGATAGCCGAAGTTGGCTCGAAGCTGGCCCAAGACGGCCCAAGAGGCCTCCAAGAAGGCCCCCGGGAAGGCCAGAAAAGGTAAAAACAATGGTTGTACAAAGGTTTTTGAAGGATTTTGACATTTGCTTCGTTTCGGCCTTCTGACGGCCCGAGACGGCCCAAGAGCCCCAAAGATCGCCCAAGAGGCCTACAAGATGGCCCCAGAACGACCCAAGATGCCCCCAAGACGGCCCCAAGAGGCCCCCAAGACGGCCCTGGAAGCTTTTAAGACGCCCAAGATGGCCTCCAAGACGGCCCTGGAGCATTCCAAGAGGGCCCCAAGTCGGCTCAGAGAGGCCCCCCAAACAGCTTCCGACGGTGTCAGACGGGCCAGGAATCCACCAAGATGGCCGAAGATGGCACTAAGATGGCCCAAGACGGCCCAAGAGGCCTCCTAGAGGGCTTCCAGGAAGGCCCGAAAAGGCCAAGATCGTTGATTTCCCATGACTTTTGGAAGGATTGTGGCATTTGCTTCTTTTCGGCCTCCCGACGGCCCGAGACGGCCCAAGTGCCCCCAAAGATGGCACAAGAGGCTCAAGACGGCCCCAAGAGGCCCCCTAGACGGCCCAAGAGGCCTCCAAGACGCTCAAGATGGCCTCCAAGGCGGCCCAAGAGCGCTCCAAGACGTCCTCCAAGAAGGTCCGAAAGGGTCAAAATGGCCTCCAGGCGGCCAAGATGACCTTCAAGATGTCCACGTGTTCCCCGAAGGCTTTCCAAACCGACTCGGGGAACACATGGTCCGATAGCTTGGCAGGCCTGGCCTCAATGTTCGGCCACATAGGCGCTTCCAAAAAGGCAGGGGGCGGCGGTGATTCGCCGTAGGCGTCTTCGATCCGCCGCCCCCTGTTGCAAGAGGGGGCCTGGCATGATAGACGAATTCGGTGTTGGTTTTGGTTCTTTTCCAAGAGAACTCCCCCTGGGGCTTCGGCCCGTCCCGCCGGGGTCCCGGGAAGGATCTCAAAACGCATCTGTCGATGCCTTTGTTGCCCCAAGTTGGCCCAAGATGGCCTCCAAGACGGCCAAGATGGCGGCCCAGGATGGCCTCCAAGTTCGCCCAAGATGGTCCAAGATGGCCTCCAAAACGGCC